TATTGACTGAGTAGCCAAAGCCGGATAAATCTTATTCCTCGATGTCATAGAGCTCCATTGTTGTTCAAAGAGTCACATTATTGCACTGAGTGACATTTTCCTTCATTGAGCACTGTAGTCGATCCCACACATTTTTTTTGTTGGTCTAATCAGTCTCTCCTTGCTAAGTGCTAAGGCTAGCTCTTTAACTCAGTGGAATGACAAAAAGAGCAACAAGAAATTCAGCCAGTCTCACAGATGACTGGAGTAGATCCTGAACTAATTCATAAATAGACTTTGAATCCATGAATCAAAAATCTTTTGAATGGAAAATCGATTCTGAATGGAATCGAATTGTGAGACACCCAACAGACATTTTTCAATGACTACATTCCCCAGCTTTTTAGTAAAGAAAATAATTAAGCCTTTTAAAAATACAACTACATTTTGTAATTAATTTTTTAGATATTCACTTCCTTTCACTTCACCGATGAAGCAGAGGTCATCAGACTTTAACTATGGTTGCTTGAATACATTCGGGCCCATGATAAAAGTTGTATTCACTGTCCGAGATGCACAACACATTTTGAACTACAATGTGCATGACAATAAAGGCATGCTCGTCTAGTCTATTAGTTGAGGTAAAGTTGTTGAGCTTAAACTCCAGTTTCCCTTTACGTCTGTAACTCCTCCTCCCCGCCCTCTCCTTATAAGTTCTGACCTCCACATCCCACCCTTGCCCAAGCCGGACCAGGGTGCAGCGGGGCGGGGTGGCAAAGGGCACCGCCGGGGCAAATGCAGGTCACGTCATCTGGAGATCTCCCTCGATAATCTCTGCCCCAGCCCTGAACCCTGGATCCCATTAAAAAGGATTTACATCCAATAGTGTAGATGTACCAAAGGCAGCTTTGCTTTCTTCTCTTCCCATCATTTTACCACTCTAATAAAATCCCTATAAAACACCACACAGCTTTTATTCCCTCCCCCCCTCCCTCCCTGCCATGGTAATGTTGTAGGACTGCGATGTGAGCGTACTGAGCCACGCCCACTTCTGAGGATAACAGCGAGGGATTGGTTGCTAGTCTCATCTGTAGTGAAAGCTTTTTATGGGATGTGGGTGCTTGGCAGGCGGTGGCGCATGAGTAAAAGACACAGCGAGATCTTACAGAGAGAGGCGATGTGTGAGTTGGACTAAAAATAGAGCGATGAGGACGGGATAAGCGGCAGAAATTATCTCTGTGTTCTCCAGCCTCTATTGTCTCCTCCTCCCTCTTATCTCCATCTCCTCTATCCCTCCCTCTTTACAGTAAGACCTGCTGGCGTCAGTATTCCTCCCTGAGCTGCGAGATCTGCTCCGATCTCATTATTTGTGTCGTGGTCAGTAGCTGAAACTATGAGCTCACTCGCCCCGGGTTCCTGTTGAGCCCGCCTTTACTGAACACTGATACTGTGGTTAACTCGGGCCAACCTGATTGCACGGCCACACAATCGACAGCTACTTTTGGATTATAACCGCTGCCAAACATGAGCTCGAGCTTGTTGGCACTGTGGCTGTTTTAGAAGATAAACGCTAACGGATGCGAGCTGCACAAAAGGTGCTGCGATCACACGCTACAGGCAAGAGATAGAAGCGTCAGTGTGGGGCCTTGGAAGGGTTGGGTAGAGAAGTTGCCTCTTGTGAGGCTTATAAAGTCCACAAAGTCAGAAGTCGCCTACAGAAGAGGCGACATTTCCGTGCTGGTAATAAAATGTATTTCCTGTCCAAACTACCTGTCAAAGTAAGACACCTGGACCGATTTGCGTTTGCTTTACAAAGCTACCTCTAGTTTAACAAGTTCCCAAAATCAACAAAAAAGTGGTCGCTTGCTTAGTCAATGGTCGAGAGCTGGTCCCCGTATAAAAACGTCTCCAGCCCCTCCTGATCCCTCCAATAACTTTTCTTGACTATAACCTGCTGCGTTGTCACATCAGCTCATCCCGACTTTATGCTGAAAATGTACCAGGTGGGCTAGCAGGAGTCGGAGTGAAACATTTTTGGCTGCTTGAGTTCACACATAAAGATCACCCCAAAAAAAACTTCTTGTTTTCGCAAGTGTGAAAGCACTACAGGCTTCTTATGTTTGCATACAGCATCTTAAATGTTTGTCTGGAGCGTTGTCCATCATGATTTTCATTTTAGCCAGAAACATACAGAGCGAGAGAGAGCGAGCAGAAAACTGATTTAGAAGTTGATATGCAGTCGTCCTGTTTGAAGCTCCAAGTGAACGGGACACTTCAGGAAGTTATCTCAAAGTATTTGAACCACTGGACTCGAGTTTAAGCTGCAAAATTAATATTCTGCTGTACAAATCTTTTACTCTTTTACTCAGAAGTCAAGATTAGTATTATTTATCTCCTTTTGAAGCAAACTTTTTGAGCAGGCTGTGAAAGGACGACAGTAAAAGAACAAACTTGCTGTGGCTTTGATGATTCTTTGAAGTAAAACTGAAGAGAAGCTGAGAGGTTCTTTGAAGTCGGAAACTTCTTACGTTTTAAAAAATGTCGGCTATTTCTCTTATCTGATATCAACACAAATCGTTTAAACTTGTATCATGAAAAGGGTCATCAGGAGGTGTTGAAGTTCACCCTCTGAACGTGTGTGTTTGTATGTTTGTGTGTGTGTTTGTATGTTTGTGTGTGTGAGGTTTTTCAGTGTTCCTATCTCATGTGACCACTGTGTGTGTGTGCGCGTGTGTGTGTGTTTTTGTGTGTCTGTGAAGAGTTTAGGAAACTTTTTATAGAATTAAAGCCACAGTCAGACCCTTCACAAGCTGCCATGTTGCTGCTGTTACAGCAGTTTCCCTTCAAGTCGCCTGCTGCCAATCCCCGTTTATCAGGGATTAGATTACTGAATTCCACGAAATATCAGGAAGAGGATGGATGGATGGAAAGTCCAGCTTACTTGATGTTCCCATTGACGGTTAAAAGACGTGTTGGTCACATCAGTGTTTTTTTAGCAGAAAGAAAAGTCTAATTGTAATGCGATTGTTTTTTTATGTTAATCGTATTACAACTAAACTAAACTAAAGTGGAAGTTTATTCAACAAGGCCAAAATAAACCCCTTCTGTCGTCTACTTGTTTAATAAAGCAACATGAAGATAATCAAACTAGAAGGGCACTTAGAGAACACATGTGGAGACGTTCCTCGTTCTCCAGTCGGATTCGGATCCCCTCCAAATATTTAATGGGATCCTCCTTGGCTCTTGGCTTCACTCTTTTACCGAGTTTTACGACAATCTTAGCGAACACATGACTCTTGAAACAAAATTGCTTCAGTGGATTTGATTGTGCTCATTTTTTTTTTTATATTTAACTCTATTAGGAAGCTCAGTTAGTCAAACTGTCCCTCCTTAATCTTACAGAGATTGAATTATCCAGAAACTAATAGTCATGAATAAATGACTAAAACAGAGTCTCTGTACAGCAAATCAAAGTTAGCCTTTTACTGTAATCATTTGTTCTCTTGTCACATCTCTAACATTTCTCAAGCTTTGTTTTCTTTTTTTAAAGAAAAGTCATTAAGTTGGAAATCATCCAGTATTGGATTTAAAAAAAAAAAAAGGTTCTATAAGACGTTTTCTCACTTTTAAAAAAAAGCGGTCTGTGGAGATCAGAATGCTGGCCATTTGTGTTTTCTCTCTCTCTCTCTCTCTTTCTCTCTCTCTCTGAGAGAAATTTGAATTCATACATTTTGTTGCTTCAGAAAGATTGTTTCAGAAACTTTGACATGAGTTAAAATAAGAACTGAACATTGATCAAGCTTAGACGCTAAGAACTGGTTTAGATTGGTTCCTTTCTTTTATCCATCCAATCAAAAAGGGTTGAACTCGTGTTGTTTATATTTGAAGTGTGCACAAATCTAACCTCTGCAACAGATCAAGATGGGACCAACATTCATTTTGATTTCTCTCCCCCCCCCCCCCCCCTGCATGCCTCACTGTTCGCTGTGGCAGCTCTGCAGTGAAACTCGGCCAGAGTTTTATACATTTTTCATGTGTGTGATTCCTCTCCGTGCAGCGATCTGCTGTGACCCCAACATGCCCTCCAATCAACATCCCACCCAACCCCAACTTTGCCACACGCTATACATTAAAGCTACACTGCTCGCCCATCAATTAAACATGGGCTACAAGGACAGGCAGAGTTCAGTGAGCCTCTCTCGATCTGCTGCCAGTGGCGTGATGAAAGATTAGCTGCTTTAGAGGACGATGATTATAAGTTTTTAGCTTCTTTAAAGGACATTTTGACTTTCTTTAAACTCTAATGTTAGCAAAATGTAGGACTAAATTGGTTTTTTTTGGTGGATTTGCAAGTTTTCTTCAATCATTCCTCCATTGTTAAAGGCTCAATCTAGACTTTTGTCCACGTACCATCCTGTCTTTCTATTTTCTAAATCTCTTCTCATCTGAGCTCACATTTCCATTCTACATTCTTCTGACTGCCCGTTCCCATATGAACATTTCTGGCCTGTTAGATCCATGAAGAGTGAGATGATGTAGAGTGCGTGGGACCGACCGTGATCAAATGTGCACAGGAAACAACATATCTGATCCAATGGCAGGGTGCTGGGGGATTACAGGAACGCTTCTTGTTCTGCACGGCTTTCTGCACGTATAGCCGGTGTACCGCTATGTAGGTGTTGCGTGCTCTCACCGCTCGCATGCTACAGAATAGATATGCATCAAGCGGAGGTCACAGAGAAGTCAGTCACACACATATGATCAACTTCACCTTGAATCAGGACGATTGAAGTTGAAAACCTTCGTGATCGACCATTTGTTCAGTTGATTAAAAGTCAAGAAAGGTGTTTTTCAGAGCCAAGAGTGATGTACAAATAGCTTCCTTTGTCAAACTGACGGCTCAAAATCCATCGCTTTGCTTTGACAACATGGAACCTTTTTTTTGAGCCTTTGTAGTTCTGATTTTTCAGGTTCTGCTAACTTAACGCTAAAAATCTTTCCTCCTGCTCGTGTTGTTTCAGGTTAAAGTTTGGTTCCAAAACCGGCGGACCAAGCAGAAAAAAGACACCACCAAGGACTCCGACAAACGCTCCTCCACCTCCAACGAGTCCTTGGCCACCTGCAACATCCTGCGCCTCTTGGAGCAGGGCCGCCTCCTGTCGGGCCCTGTCCCTCCCAACTCTCTCCTCGGGCCTCCTCCACATCCGGCTAACGGCTCCCTGCTGAGCAGCCCTGGCGGAGGCTCCTCCACCTCTCCTGGGATCAGCAGCAGCACTCCTCCAAACTCCCTATCCGGAGGCTTCGGGCTGTCCCTGTCCTCGCTGGGCGGCGCTCCACCCTCTCCGCGGCTTGGCGTCCCACCGCCGCACTCACTTTGCTTCTCCATGCCACTGCTGGGGGGCGCTCATCACGAACTCACCTCCGCCTACGGGTGCGGATCTTCAGCTTTTGAGCCTTACATGCGGCTGGACAGGAAGGAGACGGATCTGGGAGGGAAGAAGACGGTTTCTTAAGTTGTCGTCCCTCCTTTAGGACACAGTGGTGCTGGGACTTAAAAGACAACTCCTTAGCTGCCTTTTTGACACCTGACAGGCAACACTCAGGGGGAAGAAACCCTGCTGGATCACAAGAAATCCTAAAAAAGGAAAGTTGCTTTCCTTGCGGCACCATTGTGTGCCACAGCACTGACACAAAATAAGAGAAAATGACTCGATGTGACGGACTTTGCCACATGAAAAAGAAACAATACTTGTGAATTTTTTTGCAGAAATGCAGTGAGTGTACGTGTGTGACCCCTGACAGACAGATGTTTTGATCTCCACTCTCTTCGCAGTGGTTTTAAGTGACTCTTCACTTTGTGTCCAGTGAGTTTGTGTGTGTGTGTGTGTGTGTGGTGTTTGTCTCTATACAGGCCTTCATTTACTGTTCAGGAAAAAAATAATAATACTTGACATGAGAAGTTCGGACTGAATCAGCGTCTGAATGAGGAGTCGGGGGGGGTGGGGGGTTTCAAAGCGAGCAGTTTGTACACACTCCGGTACATTTCCTTCCAAGTGGCCATGTTTGATTTTAGTTGATGTGCTTTCACGATATGGAAGAAACACTGAAGAAGAAAAAAAAAAAAGAATCGTAGCATTTAAATATCAGCGTGTTTGATGTCCAGCCGTAGTTTCTTTTAGTAAACTCTTCATTTGGTTGTGTTTGTGTATGAAATATGATGTGGTAGGATCTGGACTAAATGGTGCAAAAAAAATCACATATCTAGATCGGATTAGTTGAACATAAAAGAAGAAGAAGCTGGTTAGATTCTGCCAAAGCATTTATGGAGGAAGCTAACATGTTTCCTCCAACTTACTGAAGCAAGTCTCAGAGAGGTGACTTTATAACCCGGGTAACCTTTTCAATCTTTAACTCACACACCTCACAGTTTTAAACACAGTGTTGAACATCTGTCCAATGTAATAACAGAAAATATGAATTTGCAGACGTGAGTTCTGCTTCTTTGTTCCTCAGTATATTTCGGATTACAGCTGCGACGATTCATGACGGAAGATCTTTGAAAATTTGCGCCGAAATACCAAACATGGTCTGGCTACTGTTCATGTTTGTCTTTTTCATATAAGACATTAAATTAAGTAGACATCTTTTACCCTCCCTACATAATCATTCTTTGCATCCATATATGCAAAAAGATATTTTACATCTTTATAGAGATGAATATAAAGTCACAATAAGCCCAAACCTGACGCATTCTCACACAGGAGACGTTTACCGTGTGCAGCATTAAACTGCAGTGTCACTTGAAAAAAGTTTCCCTCTGCTTGTCCTTTTATTTAAAGCACTTTATGTCTGTCCGCTCCTGATTTTTGACCCCCAATTCAAAGCAGAACCAAGCGTTCAACAAGAATCATTGTTGGAAGTCACAGATATATTTAAGATGTAAAGCTGTTAATGTCTTCAGGGTCTTCTTTAAAACCTACATTTCAATAGTCTGAGTTAAACGTAAATCGACCTCTCTGAAGTCGGCCCACTTTGGGAACGTTTCTCTGGAGTTGTGCATCCCTGCAGGCTGATCTGCCTCAAGAGGACAGGGAAAAGGATCCGCTGCAGTGTTATGATTTTTATTTTCCTCTCCTCCATATGAGGAAATTTGCCCAAAGAAAATCAAAACTCACTCGCGAGAAAAACTGCAGTTTGACCCCAATTTACTCCCACTTTGCCCTCCGTCGAAATGAGTTAGCGCTTCTTTTCAAAAAACCCTCTCGCCTGCGTCTTATTTCCACCGTACATTTCCACATGTTTATTATTTATTTGTAGGCTTCGCCTCATTGTGAGGTGTAATACGTTCCCTAGAGGTCATTTCACACCGATTAAAAGAAACATGAACGTTCTCCCTGACACAAATTTAAAAGGAAACACCGGGCCAGAAGCACGTTTCTTTCACTGAACATGCCTTTCTTTGCCGAGGGCATGTGCAGGTTTTCGACCTCAGTGGATGAAAAAAAAAAAAAAAAAAAACTCCTCCGTCTGTCGGCTCTTTGGGCCTTTTTGCACCCGTGTAGGTACCCGTTTTGCTAGCAGGTGATTTGTCGCTGTTGTGTTTAGACCCCGGCAGTGCTACTAAAAGAAAAAAGAAAAAAAAAACACAACCCTGTTCTCTCCTTGCAGCTCTTTGCAGCGCTGCAACCTGTGCTGTTGTTGAACACTGTATTATTTTCTATAAGCACCATCCATAATTCACACACCGGGGCATCAAATATTGAGCAGAGAGATGGAGCTGAGAGGTCAGGAGGCTTGCTTCTCGTGTACCCTTTCACAGACCCTTGCGTTTCTTTTTTTTCTTTACTCACATCAGGGTCGTTTTTTCTCTCTCTCTCTCTCTCTCTGACCGTCTCTATGACCACATTTTTTGCCGCAGGTGTAAAGAAGTGTGATAAATCGGCTCCTGAAACTGTTCTTCCTTGATCTCATTTGTAAGGAGATGTGACCAGAAAGCGTTTAAGCATTTACAGAAACTCACACTATTGTCTTTTTTTTTCATTCTGAATCAGCACTGACTCTGTCGTCACTGTACAGTGGTGTTTCTTCATGTAAATCTGCAGTTACTGTATCGTGTATACGAGGTGATGATGATGATGCCAGGTCTCCAGGGGACAGATGGATGCTTTGTAAAGCCTTGCATCAGTCAAATGAAGCCTTTTGGTTTTTCATTTTATTTTCTGACACTTCTGTTCTCCCTCCTGAGTGGATGAACATATAGGAGGTTTTTTTTTTTTTTTTTAAATGTGCAATCTGTGACATCTTGCACTTGTTCACCGCCCTCTCAGAAGGCCTTCCTCTCATGGCTCTTACTGACTACATTATGATTTTCCTTCTTTTTTTATTTCAAGTCCTTTGAGATTCTGTGGAAGTTTGAAATTCAACCACTTCTTTTTTTTTTTTTTTTTGCTTTTCTTCTTATGCACAGCTAAAGGTTCCTGCAGAGGGGCTTTCACTTCTTTTCTTTAAGCAGTAAAAAAAACGTAACTTAACGGCACCAGCTTCTTACTTATGCTGAACAAAAACTCTATGTACATATATATAAAGTTCTATATGAATATATATGAATGGGTCTTCTTTGCACACGTTCTCTCCATGTCCGCTCCGTGTGATTCAAACAGGAAACAAAAACAAAAAACGCAAAGGAAGATTGAGAAGAAAACTTTATATATGCTTTACAGTTCTTTGTCTCATTAACATTTTGCACTTATTTAAAGAGGCTTACTTCTGTTTCCGGGCTGACAGAGCTGTTTTCACGCTCGGCCAGGATATTGTACAATATGTATATGTATTTTTATTCATATGCATATAAATATATGTCTATGTACTTCTGTCTCCTGTGGTCTCTTCTTCTTTGTTTGGATGCATTCAAGATGTGTGGAGGGGGAGCATTTCAAAAAGCAGAAATATGTTTGTATAATGAATCGGAAAGAATTCCAGAAAAAGCTTTTAGAGTACTTTTTGTAACGGTCAACATCATGTAAAAACACGGCTGACACTGGCTCTTTCTATTCACACTCAGGGCTTTGGACTTTGCTTGATCAAAACCTTGGTGTGTTTTGTTATCACTGAGATTTAAAATAAAAGATCAAGGCAGTGGGCATCCTACCTTTTCAGGTCTTTCTGTGGAGCCGTCCTGTGGTCTGGAGTCGGGCACAAACACGCCGAATGGTCGCGCCCTTGGGACATTAATTGGATGAAAATATGAGACGTATTAAAAAAGAAATTGAATAGATGAAAATAAAGGAATGCAATTTTAGAAGACTGACACATCAGTGGGATAAAAGAACGGTCATGTAATGACTGCTGGTTAAACTTCGAGTGTAATTCACTAATTTTTTGAATTTATCAAAAAGATTCTTCAACAGTTTTGTCATTTTTCTCTCTCACCTGAAATCTTTTAATTACAACATTTGATTGACCTTTAAAGAATGCCAGCTTTAAAAAAAAAAAGAGAAACTTCAAATTAAAATAATTACACTACATGGACAAACAGTCAAGTATTGAATTTTAGTTTTACTTTGTATTTTGCTGACTTTAAGTGAAAAAAAACTTTAAAACTCTGTTTTTTTTTTTTTTAAATGACTCTAACCAGACGTCATATTTAAAGGACTAATGCAAAATCCTGTAACTGCTATTTATGGGCGATTTAAAGAAAAGCCATGTCCAGAGCTAACTCCATCCTCACATCTCTTTGATTATCAGACAGGTTGACCAAGAGTTTTCACTTCCTGCTACTCTACTCCACACATGCACCATTGTACCACAGTTCACAGGTTAATGAATGTTCTTTTCCTATATTACTGCCTCTAAAAATAAAAATAAAATTACTAGTTAGTTTGACAATTTACTAATTCACTTTAATAAAAGAGATTATAATTGAAACACATTTAGATTATATTCATATCATAAGATATGAATATAAAGTGGGATGTTGTTGATCCTTGTGGACATTTTCCTTTAAGTGCCTGCACCATTAAAATAATGTTGGACATTAATCACATTAAATTTAAATAATTTAAGCACATTAATGTGATATGAACGTCTGTTTCTGTGCACAATGAATACATTTCAACTACAGGACAAAAATGTCTCCACCAATACTTTTAATCAAATGAAAGATTAAAGTACTTTTTCTCCCCCTACATGTGAAAGATTGGACACTTGGGGCCTCCATAGAAAGAGGCCTGTGTGTGATACACGACCTGTGAGATGATACCTGGACTGACAGGCTCTTCAGCTAACTCACATTTCTATGATTACTTATGAAAACTTCACCAGTGACACGTCAGATGGAGAACAATCTGCAGAGAAAGAACAAGTCGTGTGTAGGTTAGACTGAGCTGTAAAGGTAACACAGTCCATACCCCCCCCACCCCACCCCCTGTTAGCCCAGACTGCAGCGTGGGGCTCTTCTCCAAGCCGGGACAATTGATCCGCATGGTGCCAATTATAGTGATTGGCACCTTTTTTTGAGTGAGGGAGAGGAGAGAGGGTGGACAGAAAGGAGACCAGATGGGTGGCCTGTGTTAGAGGAGAGCAGGGAGGGGACGCCCAGGAGGAAGGACCCCGCTGCAGAGGAAGAAGCCGGTGGTAAACATTTTGTACAGAGAAGCAGCAGGACTTAGTGGGTTTTTGTTGGCTTTGATTTGTAATTTCTGAACAGCAGAATGATTTACCAAGGTGGTGGAAATAACATGATATCAACTACAATAAAAGTGTAGAAGACATATTTGTCTTCAATGAAGGGAAATAAAACAAACTAGGTTATTATGAATTATTATGGTCTTTCAAGTCATTTGAAAAATAAATAAAAATAAAAATAAACCAAGAAATTTAACTCCAATTTTTTTGCATTTTAAAAATTAAAATGTATTTTCCATGAAAAAAAAGTGACAAAAAACAAACAAAAAAAAATCTGG